TAGCCCGTGGATACTTTCTTTTTATCTACATTGCAAATAATGACGTGACTTGAGTAATAAAATATTTAAAACATCATCGGTGCTGTAAAAAGTAATTGTGTTAGCAGGCTTGAGAAAAAACACTAATTTCACGTATTCTTTCAATCCAATCACATGTTTAGGTTTTTTGATCAATAAAAACTGATTATAAAGATAAATTTTATTCACAGTAGGTATTTAAGTTATTCCAATGAAAGAACAAAAATTTAGCGCAGTGTGTAAGACGAAAACGACACAAAGATCGATATTCCGTCTATTATTTCCAAGTACGTTCTCTCGTCTGGTATTTTAAATGTTCAAATAATTTATAAATATCAATTTAGAACTGTCAAAGACATTACAATGATGCTTATATTGACAATATCGAAGGTGATTAGCGATAATATTATCATATTTTACCGAGAGAGCCTCTCGCAAATATGCACACCTTACGTCCATTTCACTTTGGTTACAGAGGAGACTTATTTCTTATTGATTGGAGCAGTTCCTAAGTTCTGAACACGACTATTTATAAGTCGGTATTAATCCGGCTTATAAATAATTGATTCATGTTTACGTATGTAAAATAAAAATTCAAAAATACTCGAGAAACCCGAGTTAGGGCCACGCAATAGCGTTCACTGTTGCACGAATGGGCAGGTCCGTCCGGGTAAGGTCCGAGACCTCATAGAAGACCGGCTTAAATAGAAGAGTTTCACTTCTGCGTTTCGTCTGGTGAGTGAGGTAGCCTTACGAGTGTTACAAATGTCTATGGGCGGTGGTTTTCACTTAACATCAAGTGAACCGCCAACTCGTTTTCCACATATAAAAAAAACCTGAATCCAAATCCCGGTGCCGGGACATTGTAAATTTTAAGTGCTGACTTATCATGTTCTCCGGGGTGATGTAAAACATCGTGAGAAAATATGATTTTTTTCGAAATAATAACACAAAATATATCGAAGATATGTGAAGTCTGTCAATCCAGAGTTGTATGAGCCCTAATACCCTCTGTACAGAGGAGGCCTTTGCCCAGCAGTGGGACATATACAGGCTGTTATTTTATTTCAAGTATTCAAAACCTCTACTAAACACGGGTGTTTTTTAAAAAATACCTTAACATATAAAAGTAAATAACAAATACTCCTATTTATTCGTTATCACAAATTAAGCAGGGCAAGTCAAGAATAATTGGTATTGATGATTGGCGTAATATGAGGCTGAGTGGTGATCATTTTGGTTCGTTTTAAGTATAGGTATTTAGTTTTTAGTATCTTTTGTATTTTGTTATTATGTGCCAAATAAATATTACTTTCTGTCTTTCTTTCGTTGAAGTTTTATATAATAATCATTAGAACACACTTAAACAGCAAAAATTTCGGCTTTCTCTTGTTTAAAATCTAAATAACACAGAATGCTGTAAAACATGTAATAGTAAAACTGTCAAACACGTTTAACGGCACCGTAATTGAATAACGCTTCGTAACTTCAAACTATTACATTACATATAATGAGATTGCCGACCTCTTTGCAGCTGCACCGAGAGTAATTGAATTCGACAGTTCGAAATTAAGTAACGGCAAAGCCATTGCGTAGTACAGTACCGATATGACGGCGAGTAATATTCGCGACTCATGTTCTTCGGTAACGCCACTCCAATATCACCCATGCAAGGTTGACACCAATTTGACAAAACACTCGAACCGGAGTCCAAAAATGGCAAGATTATATCACAATTTGTGGTAATTTTATAACTTTATCGTTTCCCTGCACTTATTTTTCGTGAGGACATTTTATCTTACGAGTAAATTTAAATGTTGTATATAATACACAGGAAGGCTATTGTCGACTTTTTGGATTGGACCGTTTAACTGTCAACTGACGTAGACGGCTTATATTCAGACGTCAAGTTATAAAGACCTTTTAACACATAAACGCTTATAACCACATGTTCAGTAGATTTAATATCCGAGACCGAATTATATTATTTAGAATTAGATTCTTATGTAAAATTAAATATAGTTAGCCACAAATACACAAATGTATTGCGTTATTTTAAGTTCTTATTTTCCTTCTTATACTACTTTTTACTTTTTTAAACATTCGTTCAACATCAGAAGAGAATATATTAATTGTCAAGTGTGTAGATGAATGTGACGGAATAACATAGGTATGTCAAATGGATACCTAGAGAATGGTAATAGCATCATTGTTTTTGATTCAAAAACAAAATAAATTGAATTGTATAAAAAATCTTCATCAATTCAGTCATGATATTACATAGACTATAATAAGGTATACAAGAGATAGATAAAGATAAAAAATGATTTTATTATTTTAAAGTCCTAGTAGAACTCATTTCGTGGATATTTAATACTATATATGCGTTAAAACACTGGCAAATTTAATCATTGAAATTTGTTGATGTGATGCAAGGGGCGCAGCAAAATTTTGTTGACAAACGTTTGCAAGCGGTGCATGGAGTTGATCAATTGAAGTTGCGATAACAATCGAGTGATGGTTTAATATTTGTCACGACGCTGAGGTAGATGAATTCTCGATCTGGTTAAGGGCATGAATTTACGTCATTATATAATTTTGATCGTGTGATAAATATAACGTCGAAGGATGCGAGGAATCACCAGTCACCGAGGAAAAAATTTTAATGACGAGTACACACCTCGTCTTCCATTAAATGTTATATTATAATCATCTAAGTTGATGAGGGATTGTGGTTGACACTTCATTAAATTAATTCAACATTAAATTAATTACTTTTTTTAAAAAGGGGGCCGGTGGTGATATATGATTCACTGCTCTTAAGCTAGCTCGTCTGCAAAATAAAGGAAAAACTAAGCTTTAAATTAATCTATTGCTTTTAAATTTGTATTCAACCCCTTTAAGTGCTTAGAGCTATGTAAATAATATAACGTGAAGTATCCTTATGCTTTATTACCAACTAAGAATGCAGGTCATATTAAAAACCGTCATCCGTAGATGAAATGACACTCGAGACCAATGGGCTGGACTAATGTCCATGGGGGGCTTTTATCACTCAAACTATACGTCAGGTGAATCGTCAGCTCGTTTGCCACTTTATCACATAAAAAAATCGCGTTAAATAGTGTAATAAATCGTGCGCATGTTGTCATCTACTTATATCCATACCACTGCAGTCAATACGGTCGACTGTGTATCTATACGTGTTTTTGTTTACAATTGAAAGGCATTTCATAACGGACACATGATTGACAACTGTTTTATACATTCATCCTTTACGCATGCGTGCAATGAATTCGTACGCATACGAGTTGGCAATAATAATTAATCATTGTTTTTTCGCTTGTTTACCTTTCAAAGATAATATTTTTTATAGACACTAATGACACAAAAAGACATGGCTGTAAAAAATAGCTACACGAGTTTGCGATTCTTTATTATACGGAAAAAGAACTTTAAAACTATATTATTTTTGAGGTTCTTAAATCAATATTTTTTGCATCCATTACACACTTAAAAGTATTATACACAAGAAGCTTCATGCGTGTGTGCGATTGCCACTAATTAAAATAAAAAAATGTGCGTTTGTATTTTTTTGTAATAACGTAGCAGCGCTGTCATCAAAACAACGTTACATGTAAATGATAATGAGTTTTTAAATATTTGCGCTCGAATTCGACCGTGTCTAATTTCACACTAAGTGCGGCGTTTAACCGATCCACCGAATAATCTGGGAGGTGCTGTTTTAGAAAAAAGTGAATTAACGCATGAAGTAAGATCAACATACGGTGTAATTTATTCTTTAAGAATGTTTCTAACACTTCGTATATTCGTTCAATCCGTATTATTAAGAGATTGTTTTGAGTGGAGGTTATTAAAAAGCAAATGTATTTTTTTAATTTATCATAAAGGTAAAGATATTTTATAAAGATCCTATATGATTAGTTTTTGATAACATTTTTACGACTTAAATAACAATTCCTTGTACACTAATTATAAGTAGCATTTTTAAACAATCACATTTATTAAAATGACACATATTCGTGACAGTGTTGAAATTAATCAGTTAATGAATCGTACATTCTACTGTGTCGTTGAAAATACAATCGCCATAAATAATAGATAAATCAATAATGTATTAGATTATTCGAAAACTTGATGTCAATGCATCAAGAAATAAGTTAAAAACATTTTTTTCTGAGCGTCAAGGATCCGGGAAACGACTGCGTTAACCGCAGTTTAGGTCCCGTACGGTTGTGAGATGTAAGAATGATGTTAGGAATGTAAGACCTGCTATTTCTCTGCGACGTGGAACGAAGTGTGCTATCTATTTTATGAAATGATATACAATATACAAAATTATCTTATAGACGGCATCTAGTAAGATATTAATTATTTTTTTTTACATAAATCGTATTGAGATTATTGCTTCCTACTATCAAAGCGATTATCTGGCAAGCAACGCATATAATAATAGTTAATTACCTGGTGGAATGATTAACAACGAAATGAGGCTAAAGCTAAATATTGAATATTGTTAAAAAAATTTGACACCGTGTCAACAGTTTCTAAGCTATATGCTTCGGCACCGGGGTCGTGGGTTAAATTCCCACATGGGACCAGTATTTGTGATTCACAGATAATTGTTCCGAATCTAAGTTATTCCCAAGGAGGGTTGACGTCGGACCAGCTACCTGGGCGTAAAAAACCTATTTGGAAAGAAGAAAAGAAGATATCACATAGTTATCTAAGGTCCAATCCGTTAGACAACTCATTCTGGGTGGTTATTTTAAGGGATGGCAAATGAGTGAGCAGTTCTTCTGATGGTAAAGGATGGCCAATGGAAATATACAACGCCAATTCAGAAAGTGGTGCTGGCTTTTAGTTTGGATGTGGTGGATCTCCTTGTACGTTGTATGTATACATAGAAATTTCAACAGAGTGTGTTGTAATTCCAGACGATATCGATGTGATTGGGCGCGATGCGTAGCGACGTGGCGTACCGCGGGCTCTCGCAGCACGTGGAGTTGGACCGCGCTGTTGACCCCCGCGACCGCTTCTCGCTGCAAGAGCTCATCGGCGAAGGCACCTACGGCGAGGTCTACTGCGCTAAGGACAAGAAGTCTGGCCGACGGGTCGCCGTTAAGGTGAAGGCTGCTTTGAATATTTGAGTTAAAGTGTTCTTATGCGCTGATTTAGTCCTGAATAAGCGGCTGATTGTGATACACTTTTTGGTTCAGGGGTAAATTTACGATATTAAGTCGCGGGAATAAAATCCAGTCACATGTACCAGTGTGTTTCCATTTCTTTTTGCCTTAATAAAGTCACAGGGTTGAAGTTATATTTCAACACAATATCATATTAATTTGACGCTTAATTCTAACGACTGCTCGAATGAATGAAGCTAGTTCAACCGCTAGTGCTGCGCATAGCAATCCAATTAAATATTGGATGTTGAAATTAAGGTACCTGCACAGGACAGCCTCGGTCTAGGGTACATAGAACTGGGCTTAGTTATGTTAAACGGGACAGTGAGTTCATAGACGATTGGGCTAGGGACAGGGTCTCCATTTTATAGCACCGTGGTAGGCGGTAACGCAAAGTGGTGTCGTGTTGGTAAAAAGCAACGAGAAAGTTAGGCAAGGTTTGTCTTTCCCCAAAGCGCACTCAGCATTGCAAAGTAAAAAGGAGCACCGATGCGCTCCATAGACGATCCCATTGCACTAAGAGTGGATACTGAGCGCGGTTAAGTGGCTAAGAACACCTTAGCAAAGAGATAATCAAGGCAAAAAACAGAATTATTCCTCCAAAAAGAGACTGGATATCTTTCTACTTACATAATTGAGTCTTTTGCATTAATACCTCAACACTATATCACTATATATAGATTTTAGTATTATATATAAAGGCCTATTACGTAAAATAAAGTGGGCTTTTTCGTTGGGAAGATTAGCATATGTAACTTAATTTGCATTTTAATTATACCAAGTCATTAACATTTTAAAGAAAACTTCTGAACATAATATATATTTAAGCCGAGATTATGTTTAGAAATTCTCTTTAAAATCTATATTTAAAAGAGCTTGTCACGGAACCCTACACAACCCTAAAAAATTCAATTGTGCTTGCCACCAGGACCTCATGTCCTTAGATGACAAATCAAGTTTACTAATCCTCATACGTTCCTATAATGTCAAGGTATTTTAACAATATCTATTATTGTTGATTAACATTTTCATCTTACTATATTTTCATATAAGCCCTCTAGCTAAATACTGCCATTTTTCAGTCCAACGACAATATATTACATTTCAGATTTTGGAGAACATTGCCGAGAACATCGAAGAGATAGAAGAAGAGTTCCTTGTTTTCAGAGATCTATCTAGTCATCCAAACATTCCAGAATTCTTCGGGTTATTTTTAAAGCGAGGCATAAGTTCAGATGATGACCAAATTTGGTTTGTTATGGAGGTAAGTGAAAAAGAATAATTCAATTTATTCGCTCACTTTGCTATTAGTCCGTGCATGCAATACTAACAATTACTGTTATCACCATTTACTTGATTTTTTTTACTAATTAGCGCAAGTTTGACGTTCACAGAGCAATTTTAATATAGACTTATGTTAAAAATTACAGCTCTGTACCGGTGGCTCAGTCACAGATTTATGTGCTGGAATGCGCTCCCGAGGCAAAAATATCACTGAACCTCAGCTTGCTTACGTTCTAAGAGGGACAGTGCGGGCTTTAACACATTTACATGCACACCGATGTATGCATCGAGATGTTAAAGGCCACAATATACTTCTCACAGAAAATGCTGAGGTAAAATTAGTTGATTTTGGTGTATCCTCACATTTGGCAGCAACAGCTGCGAGGAGAAATACGTCAGTTGGGACTCCATACTGGATGGCTCCGGAGGTGAGACGAAGATAACCTTTTGCCCTGTTAATATTCAAAATGTATACAACAAATCTAAATAAAATATTCTTTTTAGGTAATAGCTTGTGAACAACAATTGGATCAGTCATACGATTGTAGGTGTGATGTATGGTCGGTAGGAATCACGGCTATAGAATTAGCAGAAGGAGAGCCCCCACTTTCAGGATTGCATCCAATGAGAGCTCTTTTTCAAATTCCCCGAAATCCACCTCCAACTTTATCCCACCCAGAAGTTTTTTCATCACAACTCACCGATTTCATATCTGAATGTCTTATTAAAGATATGAATCAGAGACCTTTTGCGAGGGAGCTTTTAGAGCATCCTTTATTACTTGCTGTAAATAGTTTTGAAGATAAGGTAATAATAATATTATTTTGTATACTAAATATTCATATTCCTTGTTCATATAAAATTTAAAAAAGAATTCATATTACAGATTCGAAAGGAGCTTCAAATAGAAATAAAAAGACAAAGAGCTGATGGAAGAAGTTTTAGAGCTCCAGAAGCTACTACCAAACGAGGAAAATTAAAATCACACCGAAAAGCGAGACCAGAAAAGATGTACACCGACGATTTAGCTACATTAGAAGTCTTGACAGAAGATGCAATCGTGGAGCAATTACAGAAAAGATATAACCAAAATCAAATTTATACATATATTGGAGATATATTGGTTGCAGTAAATCCTTTTACTGATATAGGAATATATACAAATAAGGTGTGTTATCAACCGTAAATTTTCTGCTAAAATAAAAAAGTTTACGCCCGGAATTTTTATTGCGATATCATGTTTTCAGACCCAGCAAATGTATCAAAGCCGATGTAGGTCGGACAATCCACCACATATATATGCCGTAGCTGACGCAGCTCATCAGGCTTTAATGCATCAGAAGCATCACCAAGCCATTGTGATATCTGGTGAAAGTGGGGCTGGTAAAACTGAGTCCGCGAATCTTTTACTTAAACAACTTGTATTTCTATCAAAGGTAATTAAAAAAATTGCTTTGGAAATGTATTATATATATTTGTTCTAATAATAATTTGTTTTTGTATTATAAACAGACACAGCACGGAAACTTGGAGGAGAAAATTTTGCAAGTAAACCCAATAATGGAAGCGTTTGGCAACGCGAGAACAGGGATAAATGCCAATAGCTCTAGGTTTGGGAAATATTTAGATTTATCAATGATGAGAGTTGGACGTATATCAGGAGCCCGAATATCTGTTTACCTACTTGAACAATCGCGAGTAGTTCACCAGGCGTTGTTAGTAATATTAATCATTTAATTTATTGTCTTTATATAATCATTGTATTATAATTGTGATTGCTATTGTCTTTTAGAGGTGAAAGTAACTTCCACGTATTTTATTACCTGTACGATGGTTTAGAAAGCGAAGGTCGCTGGAGGAAATTTTATCTTGACGAGCAATTAAAATCGAGACATCGTTACTTGCAACCGCTATCAGTGGCTCACCGTGAACACAATGTTCATAGGTGGCGACAACTGAATCAAGCTTTTAAGGTATTTTTTCACTTAAAAAGTATGAATTATATTTTATTACGGAAGTAAATATATGTGTTTTTGTTAAGGTTGTGGGGTTTCAAGATAACGAGGTCATTGTTTTGTATAAAATGCTTGCTGCTATTCTTCATCTTGGAGATATTGAATTTGGAGAGACAGCAGGCGAGGATAACACCGATAACAGAGCCACAATAATCGATACTGCTCCATTGCATAGAGGTACGATAAATTATTTCCAGAATAAAAATTAATAACGTAGAATAAAAGAAACACTAGTAGGTAGTCCACAAACATAAGAACAACATCCATTGTTAAGATCCTCCATAGAATGATCTTCTAAATGATCAGAAAGATCAATTCAAAGATTTTAACAAACCTTTTGACTACTCAAATAATATTTGACAGCTGATTAGTTATCTTCTACGATGATCAGTGTTTCAGAAACCGTGCGGAAGATGTAGTTCAGGGAGCTAGTGTAATTTACCGATATCATTCTGTTTTCAGCTTCCTGCCTTTTGGGCGTTGAAACTTCAGATCTTAGGGAATGTTTAACGAGCAGTAGTATGGTCACACGAGGTGAGATAATAGCCCGGCACAGTTCCCCAGCTGAGGCCGCAGTGGCGAGGGATGCTACCGCTCGCGGCTTGTACGCCAGAACATTCGATAGAATCGTCGAGAGGATTAATGCACTTCTTTGTCAAAACAAACCCCAAGGGTAAGCGTATGACGTTTAATTATTATTGTTATTAATGTATCATGTAATATTTCAAAAGGTCAAAACGATAAACTCATATAACTTTTTCAGCGTGGAACAACTGTCTATTGGAATTTTGGACATCTTTGGTTTTGAAAATTTTCAGAAGAACTCGTTCGAACAACTCTGTATTAACATTGCTAATGAACAAATACAGTACTACTTTAATCAGCACATTTTTACTTGGGAACAACAAGAATACATGGCTGAAGGTGTACCCGTGGATCTTGTGGAGTTCTCCGACAATAGACCAGTTTTGGACATGCTGCTATCAAGACCAATGGGACTATTGGCATTACTGGATGAGGAAAGTCGTTTCCCACGAGCGACTGATAAAAGCCTTATAGGTAGCTATTGCATTACGTCAATTATCCAAATTTATATAAGAAACAGAAAAGTTTTGATTAAAAATCATATGTTTGTCTATAATTAAACTCCAAAAATAGTTAACCTATATTAAAGTTTCTTTATCAGCAAGTAAAAAGAAATTAAAACAAAGCTATATTTTACTGCCAAAAAGATAGAGATCCCTATGAAAATTAAATTAAACTTATTAGCTTATTACTTTAAATTTATGATTGGGCGTATGCTGCGAAAAATATTCATAAGACAAAAAATTATATACTAATGTTTATGGTAGTATTCGATCGAGATATTTTATTCAGCCGACACCGAAATCGAAACCGAACTATCAACTTCTTCTTAAGCTTGGACTTCGTTTTAATTTTACTATTATTTATGTATGTGACATTAATAATATAGTCTTTCTAGAAACATATGTAATGTAATTATTAATCTCTCAGTTACAATGTCAACAAATATAGATTAAAATATAATATTCGACCGATACTTTCGCAGATTTGTGGCCGAAAGAAGCAAGTAATTTTTGGTGAAATAATTTGATTCTATATTCTTATTCTAGAAAAATTCCATAACAACATCAAGAGTAAATATTACGTCCGACCAAAATCCGATGCGGTATGCTTCGCTATCCATCATTTCGCTGGTAGAGTGGTATACCAAGCCGATGGTTTCTTAGAGAAGAATAGGAATTTTTTGCCGCCTGAAGTTGTTCAACTAATGAGGCAAAGTCAGTTTGATATAATTCGTTTCTTGTTTCAATGCCCTATAACAAAAACTGGTAATTTGTATTCACCATTAAACGACGACATGGACACAAGTCTGGATAGTACCCTATCGGGAGACTTAAGGGTAAGCAATGTAATATCAGTAAGTCAAATTTGGTCTGGCACCATTTTTGAACAAATCGATAATCTTATTTTTGAATTATAGTTCAACTCGCAACAGGACAGATTCAACAGTAGAGGCTTAGCGTCTCAGTCTCGAGCGCAGCAGACAGTATCAACTTACTTCCGTTATTCATTAATGGAACTGCTTCAAAAAATGGTCAGCGGAAGCCCACAGTTCGTGAGATGTCTCAAGCCAAACGACACTCGATCGCCAAAGCACTTTGACTCTGCGAAAATACTCAAGCAACTAAGATATACCGGTGTCCTAGAGACGATTAGGATAAGACAGAATGGCTTTTCCCATCGCCTGACTTTTGATGACTTTATAAAACGGTAGGGTACAAGGAACGATTTTGTTGAGGCAATAAATTTTTGTAAATAAAAGTTATAATTTATATTTTTGGCCATGTTTGAAACTTTTCAGGTACGGTTTCCTAGCTTTTAGTTACGATGAAGAAGTTAAGCCAAATCGTGATTCTTGCCGTCTTCTTTTACTAAGACTGAAAATGGATGGGTGGGCCCTTGGAAAATCAAAAGTGTTTTTAAAATACTATCACGTAGAAGTACTCTCGAGGATTTACGAGGAGCAGGTGCTTAATTTAGCTTTCACAGAAAATATCCCCAGATTTAATTCCTTTTCATTCGTTTTCAATCTCAATAAAAATATACGATTTTGTTTTATTAAAAACATTGTCCTTACTTTAGGATAACATTGTCCTGTGTTGTAAGGACGTTTTACAAACATAAACTTCTCGCGGACAAACACCCAGATGCGAAACAACTATCTGAGGGTCACACAAAATTCCCGTGAGGGAATCGAACCCACGACCCCTGACGCCGAAACTTCGCCACGGAATCATCGAATTTGTGTGCACATATGTGACTTTTTCGGCACAACGATGGATTAGAATAAAATTTAGATTGGAGATGATACACGATATTTTTTATCACACATTGCTATTACAAAAATAAACACGTGATAAACAAAAGCGACTAGCAATCGGTAATTGTGAATTATATCAACATGAATTATACGTCTGTTTTAGATAAGAAAGATTGTACTCGTGCAAGCGAGCGTTAGGGGATGGTTGGCACGTCGCCTTGCAGAACGCCTTAAGGTGCAGATGGCCATATCAGTTCTAACGCTACAACGCCATGTACGAGGTTGGTTGACGCGGAAACACCTTAGGGAACGGCAAAGGCAATTGGCAAGGGAATTTCAGAGAGAGCATATGGAACAGGATAATAATCAACGTAAACATCAGAAACCAGGTAAATATATTGGCGTAAAACGTCACGAAAATATTATATGCTTATTGTCGTATATAAAAATATGCCAGTTCTAAATTTTGGAACCTCTGCTTGTATTTTTTGTATTCGCAAACAAATTACCTACCCACTGATTTGTTTTCATAGGTGTAACAAATAAGAACAAAGCCTTGATTAAAGCTAAGTTTCTAAGGAAAATGACCCAAGATTGCGATAGCAACGGCACTAAGTCAAGCAACAAAGAAAACATTGGAAACAATCAAGCTGCTATTATTATACAGAGTCGTTAGTACTTGCATAGAATGCATGTGTACAAAATCTTAGAAATCTTTCAAAAATCTTTTTGGCACACAATTCGGAGATATATTTTTTCAGTCAAAAGTAGATTTACACTATTTGTTACATTACTTGCACATACATAGCAGGAGCATGTTTTGGAAAAGTATTATCGATATGTAATGCATGATAGCATTTACTATCGGTTTTTGTCGATATTTTTAAGTATTTTTCAAGCTTTTATATGTCTATTATAGACCTTCCATTAATATTATAGTGAATCTGTATGGCTTAGATAACAGAATACCGAATTATTAAGAGTATGAATTTGAATACTAATAAATATGCTGGAGTGGAATAAATATTTAATAAAACTTAGTCTTATTTATAGTAAAAACTAATAAAACCGTTTAAAAACTTTTAAGTTAAACGGTTTTATTTTATGTGCACTGAAAACTACAATATTGTATTGTCATCTAAATTAAATGTGTCTACCAAATTTCAGATCAATCTGACAACGGGAAGGTACTTAAATTTCAATTTCTAATTTTGACCCAAATAAATAAACAAATAAATTCCGTACGGGTCGAGCTAAATAAAACCGTTTAAAAAAGCATGCACAGTTTTTTTGTCTTTACTTAAATCTACTTTTTATTGAATATTAATTATTATTTATGCAATGGTAGACACAATGGATTCACTTGTGTTTGAAAGTAGAAACTGTATATTTCACAATAGTGGGGTGATGTTCAATAACCTTCTTTAGAACCTTCACTTTCTATACGTATATCTTTAAAAATATATAGTGATAATATATTAACAGGTGGCATTCATGCACGTATATTAAGCTCGTGAGTGGGATAGAATGTAAATTTCTTTTAACTCATCAGATTTTAGGGGATACACAGCGCGTCGCAAATGGGCGAAAGGTCGAGCGCCGCCCCCGCCCCAGCATTCGCCACCACCAACACCACAGATAATGATGCAGCATTATTCTGTTCAAGAGAGGGCAGCACAGTTGCAGACATTCGCCGATCAGGTGCATAATATTATGATCCAATAAAAATATCTTTCCTTTTATAAACGTGTCTTTCGTGCGATAGCGATATCGTGAGTCGTTACACACGGCCACGAGACAATTTACATCAGTGAGAATGTTCCTGAAAATAATTCCTTAAATGCCACGGCACTGCACAGCGAACCCTAGACAGAGAAACAGACGAAGAAATATCCGTGTTTATAAAGTCTACCAATACATTTTCACATAATTTAGAAAACAGAGAGCCGTGATAGCTCAGTGTCCGGGCGCTCGCCTTTAATTCAATATACATACTCGAGCAACCTGAGTTCGATCCCCGGTGCCGGCACCAATGAAGTTTTTAACTTTAAGTGCTGACTTATCACGTGCTCCGCGGTGAAGGAAAACATCGTGAGGGAACCGGCATATTTTCGAAATAATAACAAAAAAATTTCGAAGATATGTGAAATCCGCCAATCCGCAGTGGGGCCGCGTGATGGACTATGCCCTGATACCCTCTTTATAGAGGAGGCCTTTGCCCAGCAGTGGGACCTGTATAGGCTGTTACTTTACTTTTTTTTTACTTTTTTAGAAAACAAGGATCATAGTTGGCAAATTCTTGGCTCCCACAAGCGATATTAAGTGTCGTACGTTTTTTGTTTGCCTAAGATTTTTTTCAGTAATACGAAGCAAGTAAATAATACATAAACATTCGACTTTAAATAAATCATTAATAGGAATCGCGCCAAACTCATTTCAAATCAAATCATAAAAAATTGACTTGAACGCGATTAAAAGTTCACAGCGATAACTAAGTGTTCTAATGTTCAGAAGGGAGAATATAGCTCAAGAAATAAACACCTTAAAACAGTAGTTAAAGTCAGTGTTATGTTAAAGTCCTTTTTTTACTATTATATGGGTTTTACGTATCTAAGAATCGTATAAAATTATAAAAAGCAATAAGTGGTGTCGCTGTGCCGCTGACACGCAATCCGGTGGCGTGCACAAATGAGATTGTTTTTCAAAATTTTTGCATGTCAGTGTTTTGAAATTTTAGTTATGGTAGTAATATTATAGGCAATGTACTGTGGTTAAAATTCTGCTAGATTTAATAGTGATTAACTTTGTGAACAATAAGAAAGCATTACTAATACCTCTCTACTCTATTATAGAAAAGTAAATGGTATTTTTAATGAAACAATTGAATCACACACCACAGTAACAAGGCTAATAAAACAGTATGAATGTTTTTGTATAATCACTGTATAATCATTTAGAAAATCAATTTTGTTTGTTATTAAAGTAGGAAATATTGAGTAGCCCCTTATCAACAAGGCGCGTCAAAGTATTATTAAAGTATTGTTATATTTTTCAGGCGCATTATAAGAATCAAGACGTTCACAAGAATCTGAGACGGAATAAACCTGGCATTCATTTAATAAATGTAGAAAGGCCTCCAGAGGAATATCGTCCTCCACCTGGTTTCACCCTTATACCTGCTATAGTAAAAGGACAACAATCAAAAATAGAACAAGATGCTAGCAGACTTTCCAGGTAAACAGAAAAATGTATTGATTTGTCGCTTTATCTCTCTTATCCCTTATTTGTTGCTAATTATTGTACATTCTATTATCCGATAGTTTTAAAAATAGGATTGCGCATCTAACCATTTTCATGTAGCCCTGCTAAAACCTATACATCCATGTACTGTTCAAAAGTACCTTTCATAGTATTAAACATGTTCAATATTTAATGAATACACAGAAACCTTTTCGTATGGATTTTATTTTAAAGTATGGTAACCGATGCTTTTATTTTAATTATCATCTTTTATTTAACTTTTTAATGCTGCCAATAACGACTGCTGGAGTAGTCCGTCTCCGGAATTTTTTGATAGCTCTACTAAACCGTGGGATGAACGACTAAAATCAAATAAATATATAGAGCCTAAGTTTCCGAGGTTTGTAAGTTGGAGGGAATATTCATACAAATTATAAAGTGTCGTTACTATAGGTTACATTTTATTAAAGAATCTTGGTTAACAGGTACCAACAGAATGGACACAACCAAGATTATTACGAAGAGAAGCATCTACAAACTAATCAAAATTTGCAAAATCTGCAATGTAACAGACAATGCGGAGGCCTAGTCAGGTATGAAGAAGAATATCAATTTGAAAGATTCTGGCCTTAAATTAATCAATATTCTTAATGCATGCCTTATCATTTGGACAATTAAGAGAGGGTATGACAACTAGTATATATTTTCCGTACATTTGTGAGCGTCCACCATTAGAATCACTGCGGCAGTTTAGAGTTATGTTCACTCGTAGAGTTTCTTAGATATTAGAACATAGCAATTGCCATCGTAAGCTAGATCTTGATACGTATAAAGATTATATTGATTTAATTGACGTTCCGTTTTTCAGCAATAAAATAAACGAGCTCGTAAAGCAAACACATAAATCGGAACCACCGCCGAAGCCCTTCTACCAGCCAGCGCACGATCCGGAGTCCAATCTGCGCAAGATTCTGCGAAACTCGCCCGAGATCCTGGCGACGCCCGTTTTCACCTCCGACGACGACTACACCGAGGGTCCGTTCCGTTTCAAACAGCTGCTTCGGCCCACCCTGGGCCCCACCGAGAGCCTGCGCAAGCGGAAGGTCCGCAACTCCTCGGGCAAGAGCCCTTGGATGTCGGACAGTTCGCAAGACAGCTCCAGCTCTAATAAAGCTCTTTATAACAAACGTCGCCCGCAAATTACCATGGGCGTGTATTATAGTTAGCTTGCAAATGTAATGTGTATGTGAATTTACGGTGTTTTTAACCTGATTTGAATGCGAATGCACTCATTTTTTTTACGCAGCTAAGTCTTGAAATGCCTGTTGGGCAGGAGTAACGTATGAAATAGCCGCAACACGCCTAAGATGGCTTTCTTTTTTACATCATTAGAATTTTAGCATTTGAAACGTGTGTATTTAAAATTGTTGTATTTAACATATGTTAATTAAATTGCTTTACCACCTATAGTTAACCTAATGTAATATATTTGTCCATAACGTGTTGTCCCATCTTCAATAAATCATTAACAACCAAAGTTTTAATTATAATCATTAGTTTTTTTTTAAATCTTGCAGTTCGTCTTTGTCGAGATTTTCTTATTCAACAAAATTAGTTTTGTATTTTGTTTATTATTGTCTATTTTATATGTGGCAATAGCATAAGCTATAGCATCAAAAATTTTAATTGATATATTAAAATTAAATACATACCCCTCTTGTGTCGTGCAATCAAATCTCTGAAATTAAATTTAATGTTAATTTAAAATTTTCGGGTAATGCAATTATATTTGGTGTTGTCATCATTATTCTGTAAGGGTCGGATATTTTGAAAGCAATATACGTAAACTCATGGTTCACCAAAATCAAAAGCTGTATTGGTTTGCAACTACAAAAAAAAAACAATATGTTTATTTTTTATTGACTTCTGTTTATGGAATATAGATGAATCATTGTCTAGTTTTGTGATAAAGTGCCAATGATTATTATTTAAGTGAATAGGTAGGTCCTTAAGTTGTTTTTGTAAACCTAATAAACTTGCCGCATTGACTACATGTTTTATTTATCACTTACACGAAGGATTATTATTTCCAAAGTAAAACACTTAGACATGCAAGCCCATAACGTTATAAGTAAAAAAACACTGAAAATGTGTTAAAGCGTCCGTGTGTGCCGACATAATTGGCGTTCGCAATCAAAACAAAATAAAACACGTAAAGCTGTAGTTTTATATTCCCGCAAGAGTACGCGTTAACACGCGATCCCGTGTTTACGGCGGGCGGGCGGCGGTGTGCGTGTCGCACGTGACGTGTGGCCGCCAATGGCGGTTGCGCGCCCGCGCAGTCGCGCCCGCGCCAGCCATGGCGGCCGCCGGCCTGCCCGACATCGACCTTTCTCAAATAAAAACGCGCTCCATCGAGAAAACGCTACTCCCACTCGTCAAACAGGTACGCTATATACGCTTGCAATCTTTCGCCCAGCCCAAAGCGCAACGACCCAAATCGAACGCCGCGAACGTGACGCCCCACTATGTTCCCGTTGCACCGCGCTTATCCTCTGACGTCGCAAACAATTCTCTGACGATAGCAACGACTTCTACGCAGTATCGAAAGTCGTAATATTATTTTCGGATCTGTGCTAACGCCGGCCCGCGACGTCGCAGTCGCCCGCGTCAGATGACGCCGAATTTTCCCGCCCAACGACAATCTGTTGCATACTTTTCGCGCCGTCGCAATGAGTGCGCACCAGCGGGGCGCTTTTTTCGAATGAGTGCATGAACCCGTACACGTTTCGCTTATTTATTTATGAAATTTTGTCGCGTATTAACACCGCTCAGAACAGCTTAACATTCTAGAGTACGTGCTTCGTGATGCAATATAAAAAGTTTTACTGCTGTAAGAAAGTTAGGCGAAACGCGACTTAGCGTAAGTAACTCGCGGGTTGGGCGGCCACGTGTAGTTCACGAGGGTGGCGGTGTGCGGTGCGGAGTCAGGGCGGGAGTGGATCGATGCTAGGAGCCCGTCAGTGCCGCGGCGGACGCGAGCAGAGCGGCGCGGTGCTGCAGCGGTTCGCAGCGCCACTGAGCACGTGCGCGCGTACGTACTCGCTGGCGCGCTGTCAATCGCGCGCGCACCGCCCGCCAGAGCGACGCGCGTATTTACGATATGGACACGCTCTCCGATGACGATGATTACGCGCGCCGGGAGCCCCAGGTGCGACCCGCGGGTGATCACGAACCGCGGCCCTCGCACGGCTGGGATGACCAGGTGTGTACCGCAACGACATGCAGTAGTCTGGCCAATCCAGCGCAACAAGTAGCCTCAGGTGTGGTGGAAGATCGCGTGCTGTTGAGATGACCTTGATCGGAACGCGCGTCACGAATTCTTCCCTCGCATCCCAAACGCTTCGTCTTCCCTAAACAGACTCCTTTATTAGCAACACGCTCTAAAATTTTCGAAGGAACGGATTCAGTTTATTTGAATAAATATATATTTTAATAAAGTAGATTATGTAAACTTATTTCTTTACGTGATAACGATTGTTCCCGCCGATCATTCATCTAAAAGTTTACCTAAACTTATTGGTCTATTAAAAATGGTTGGTTACGTAAAGTATCTAATCAGTTCAGTTATCTTTGGCAAAGAGCCTATGAAAGCTTTAAATATAAAACCAATAGATACGAGACTCTATCACAAACCTTGATAAGTTAATTTTAGAGATCATGCATTTTTGTCAAGGCTGTACAATGAGCTATTTTAAATGTTAATGCATTAACAATAAACATTAAATAATAGTTATTAAATGAGAAATATAAACGAGACGTTAAAATGGGTCTTACATTTAATTAAAATTTTAAATAACTGTGTTCTTTTCATTTTTTTTATGTGAGAAGGTGGCAAACGAGCGGGCGGTTAACCTGATGTTAATGTCGGTAATGCCGCCCATTGACATTTGCATCACCCACAGAGTTGCAGATGCGTTGACAACCTTTTGAAAATTGGGCTCCGGCCACCTCACTCACCAGACGAAACGCGAAAATGTTATAATTTCCACTTTACACCGGTCTTCTGTGAGGTCATGGTACTTACCCGAACGAACCTGCCCAGCACTGCAACAGTCAGGAATGTTACGTGGCCCTACCATAGTCATGTTATTCTTCGGTTCAGACAAAAATAAATATTAAGACATACCCTTAAATAAATAATTAGCATAAATCATTTTTATTTTACAAGGTCTCTTCTTACTAACAATACTAAATTTAAAAAATCAATTATGCATATCTTCAAATATAAATAAGCGTCTATTTCCGACAAAGGCTCAAATATTTCGGCCTATCGTATTATATATTTTTATCAAATTCTAATCGGGGAAAAATACCTTTAATTAAATGTGGTAAAATGTTCGATTTTACCACATTTTACCACACCATAAATAGAATCTGGAAGTCATTAAGACATACATCGTACCTAGTTGGAGGGCAAACCGGCGCACGTACTGCAATTTCGTTTAAATTGGACGTTCTATATACGATAGATCGTTCTTTTACTTGTACGTGTGAGGAATATAGCAGAATATTAATAGAGAGCATTTGGACTTGTTCACCAACAACAAAATGTTTATACCATTCGGTAACAATTTTTATATCGTTATAGGTACACTTTATTAGTGAATAATCGCCGAAAAAAATTTAAATAATACAAAATTATTTGTTATATAATTTTCAAACAATATAATCATATATTAATTTATTTTTAATCATGTATTAAAACAATTTATTATTATATCAAATATTCTTGATATAAAATCTTACTAAATTCCATATTATCTAATAGTGAATAAAAGTAAATTTAAAATTGAGTAATGTATAGTCAGATTTCAACGATTTTCGTTTCTTTATATATACTTCAGATTTAGTTGAGTAAATATCAGAATTCTTATTTTTAATTAATATTAATGACATCAACGCAACATGCAAATCATTTTTGCATAATTGTTGTAACACAAATTTTATACATAACGACGCTAAGTGTTTAAAAACTGACGACAGTGTTGACACTAATATAGGATAAAAGGCTATTTGAAATGCTTCCAAGAATAACCGGGCCTTTTTAATGCGATCAATTGTGAGAGATGTCTTCACGGTAATATATGCTGGAAAAAGTGAAAGAATAAGTACGTACGTGAATATTCATCCACATTCCATCAACATTTGAAAAGCAGCGAAAAACCCTATTATTATTTTAATGTCTCCAAATACAAATTAAATTTAATTATGATATACCTATTTACTTTACAAACAATATAGTTCAGTAGTTAAACTTATTACTACTAAGTTTTGAAGTATTCTATACTATAATTTTCAATAATATAATAGTCGGGTTTTTCTTCATTTATACCTACTATAAATATTTTTAACGTAATACAAAATGAAGTTAACAGAATTCTTTCCTTTTTTATATTTTTAGGCACTAAATAAATCGTTTTTTTTTTTTATTTGTAAAGCACAAAGTTTTGCTTTAGCAACACGACAAATAAGTATAGTAATTGCTATTTAATAGCATTTGTCAGGCAATAACTATTTCTTGTGTCGACCATTAATTTAACATTTATTGAAGAACTAGTTCATAACAAATCCGATTGGACGAAAGATAGCTCGAAATAGTCATAAAAACAGCTGAATATTATCTGTTTAATAGACTATCTGTTTTAATGCTTTTTGAATCGGTATATCGTTAATAAATGAAATGTAGTGATTCATTATATTTTAGATAAATCTTAATTTTTGTAAGTTGTCACTTAAATTATGATGACTCTATAGAGTTTCATGAAAAAGCCCAAAGACTTTTCTCCATGAAACTCTATATAACATTTATTTAATATATTTATATACGTTAATATACATATATGCAATTATTACCAGAAGAAATCTATTTGATGGTTGGATACCACTGTGTACAATTTTTTATATAATAAAATATTACAATCGATTGTACAAAATTCACTATGTAATACTTGGTTTAATAAAAATATGAAAAATTTTACGTAACGTTTTTGTGGATTTGGCTACTACTGCTAAGTCTGAGGGTGCACGCCAATATATCTTCAAGTTCTAACTACTATTAGGTACCAGAATAAAACAGTTAACTCGATCGCCGCCAAACTTCAATCAAAAATCTTCACTGGATCACCCGCTGCACTAATCTGACAATAGACAGATTTAGGGGATGTACATCATTTCAGCTTGTTTGGGTCCACTGCTGAACATAGGCCCCCACAGATTGCCACGAAACACGATCCGGAGCCACCTGCATCCATCAACTTCGTTTTTGTGTTTAGATCAGCAGCCTGGTGGCGACTCGGGGTGAGGCAGCGGGCGGTGCTGCCGTCCAGCGAGTGGGTGCCGCCGTCTGCTGCGCGGTCGAGCGGTTCGTAGCGGTAGGCGAGACCATCGCAGACGACAACCCAGACGTCAGGCACAGCATGGTGCTCGCGTGTAAAGAAGCTCGTGCTGCAGGTAAGTCATTCCACTTAAAATCGTGGAATGATTACAACTAAATATCGAATGCTTTACACATTTATCCGTGACGTCTTAGCCTCCGTCTAACAATTATTCAAATGCATATTCACTCGTGTTTCATTCATTTGGGATTTCTTTGCAAAAAAGAATTAATCTAATATATAAATATCTCGTGTCACGGTGTTTGTAATTGAACTCCTCCGAAACGGTTCGACCGATTTTCGTGAAATTTTGTGTGCATATCGGCCAAGGTTATCGGACAACATCTATTTTTCATCCTCCGAAATGTTAAGGGTGGTCCACCCCAAACATTTTTTTCTACTCTACAAATAATTTATATGGCAAAACAAAGTTTGCCGGGACAGCTAGTAGATGTATATAAGTACATTCAAAGACTTTTAATGACATTGTTTTGTAGTTTTTATCTGCTTTTGTCTTTTGCATTGAAAACTTTCCATGGTTTTTTTAATCTAACTATTCAGAAACTATTTCATAATTTAAAAAACAATTATGGTTAATAATGCAGTTTCGGTTTTGTAACTTTTAGTTTTAAATTTCAAAATAAGTTTAGCTCATTTTAGGGCAAACGTTGGAACAACCCAAATATATTAAAATATGTTACTATCTACTCTAATAGTATAATTTTCTGTCTCGTTTAACCATGCCTTCAAACTTTATTACTTTGTAGGTATCTATAATATTTAACAAACCGCAACAAGTAACCGATGCTAAAATATTGTAAATTACAACTAGTAGTGTCTAAGTAGTGTCTTAGTTGTCCATTACTTTAAGAGGACTTTTACTTTAAATCATAATTTATTTATTATATTTTTAAAAGAAATTCCTAAATTTGATTTAAAATTTGTTATTTTGTAGTGTTAAGATGTTTTCCGTTCCTTACATTTTCATTAAAATTTAAAAAGGCAATAAATACTTAACTTAATAAATGCATAACAATGAAAATGAATACTGTTTTTCTATATTTTAGAGTATACAATAATGCAAAGAAATGAACATCGTTATAAAGCTGGACTTTATTAGTCGGAAAATTTAAAAAAATATATTTATATTAGCGTATATAAATCTAATATTATTTGTTTATTTTTTTTTTGCTTGAAAGTTTATTTACGTGTAACACGCTTAAAAGAAGTAAATTTACGTTTGGTTATATAATAACTTTAAAATTACATAAAAGTCAATCTCGGTGAATTCACTTATTACTGAAATAAACTTTATAAAGCTTTCTCATCTCACCTAAATTTATATGACTTATATGGACACATTTTTATTTTATGTGCAAGCCGAAAAAGCTATTTATGTGTAGGCTCTAGAGACTAAAAATGAAACATTAGTATATTTTAAAAATGTACGTCAGGCCACAGATACCTCGGGGTGTACCCTAAAAAATGTTTCAAATTAATATATTTTGACTAAAAATTTTGTGTAAAACAAGTTGTTTATAGTTTTACGCAACATTAGACAAAACCAAATTTTTAAAATACATTAAGAGTAGGTTTAATCTACTAAGTTACATATATTAAAAACATCAGTTTAACTTAGTAGATTAAACCTGCACATTCCTGCAACAGCGAACACTGTCTGTCCGGGTAAGTGCCACGACTTCACAGAGGACCGTTTATATTTCTGCGTTTCGTCTGGTGACTGAGGTAGCGGTTTTAGCACAACTAAAAAATAGAAAATAAATAAGTTTGAAAAAAAAATATTTTGTAGATAATCGGACTAAAAAGTAAAAAAATATTTTCAATAAATTTAAATTATGAATAATGTGATTAACAAAAAAAATATTGCAAAAAATCGTGGGGTGCTTTTTAAGACATTCCCATATGACTCTACTTTTACCAATATACACCGTCATTAAAATTTAATTAAAATAAATAAATAAATATTTTTTTTGTTAATCACACAATAACAATTTAAATATATTTTCTGCTTTGTAGTTCGGTTATCTACAAAAGAGTGATTTTTTATTTTTTTTTAAACTATTATTTATTTTAAGTGCAGACTAATCACGTGCTCAGCGATGAAGGAAAACAATGTGAAGAAACCCTGCACATTTTCGAAATAATAACAAAAAAATATTTTGAAGACTATGTAAAATCCGCCATTCCACAGTGGGCCCGCGTGGTTGACTGTGCCCCAATACCCTCTGTACAGAAGAGACCTAGTAATACCTAAATATATATATAACCTATAACCTATACATACGTCCCACTGCTTGGACATATATATAGGTTGTTACTTACTTTACTTTAGTAGTAACTACTGTCTGTATGGTATATTGAATTACAAATATAACCAGCTGTTTATAATGTGCTTTCTGTAATTTTTGCGTTTGTGTTGGACATGATTTTGATCCCACAAACAGTTCCCGTCATCTGCATATTATTTCATCGATATAAAAATATTCTATGTTTGAAAACATATAAAATACAGAGTGATACGACTCTAGAGCGACATTTCAATTTCGTCGTTTATATCATTTAGGCGGAACAACAAAACATTTGTTTCGCGAACTTCGCAAATTTAATAATCGAAACAGTCACGAAATCACAATGTTTGTGCGTCGTATATTTGTGGTTCGTTTCTTTGTTAAACGTTTGCTTTTGTTGCAATGTTTTTCATGTTATGTTACGTTAAGGTATTGTTTGAATAGCAAAATTAAAATAGCATGGCTTTTAATTAACATACAATGAAATTTTCATATAAGTAAACGAAATTTCATTTAGAACTTATTATCCATTTAAAAACATTTTTAACAGTCATGTAATATTAAAAAAAAATTTGCGATTAAATACTTTCAAATGTAAGAATTTTTTGAAGATCGTCACTTTATAATGAAATAACTGCTGCGCTCTGCATTTGGACTAGCTAGACTTATACCAATTTCGAAGTAACTTTAATTATTTCCCGATATTTAAAGCAAGATTTAAAACTAATAACAAAAAAAATAGGTTTTTTTAATTAATATTCACCTGTAGGAGTATTTTTCAAATATTTTTATAAAACCGACATTACAAATCATTCTTATACAAGTTATGCTATCAACCTAGATCTCAATACAATGCGCCTAACTTATTTTTATCAAGTATCCTCCTTCTTTAGAGGGTTCTTAATCATAGATCAGACTTTGATTACTGATAAGAGGTTATCGAACACAGTGTATTTTTAATCGATCTGCATTCAACATAGAAATCCTTATAACACAGCTATAAACAAAGTAAATGACTGTTATATTCTTGGAATAGCTAAGGATCAAATCACGTAACGCAAAATCCAACTACCCACATTTATTTATGACGATTACCTGACCCAAATTTTAATGCTCGGAGCGTATTTACCACATTACATGATCTACATTTTATCTTGATAAAGCACGACCAATTTTGTTAATTAAATCATACTGGTTTGATTAATTTATACAAAATGTATAATTATTATTTTGTTTGTTAAGTTTTACTTTTAAATTGTATAAGATTGTATTCGTACTCAGTTGAAGTCAAAAAGTTTTAATTTAGAATTTTTCAAACACTTATGAAGATTAATCTAATATTTTAGGACTCATTTTTACACTACATTTTCTGGTCCCTAACTAAGCAACGCTTGTGCTACGGGTACTAGAAAATAAATAAATATTATACATTTATAAACACCCAGACACTATAAAAACACTATGTTCATCACACAATATTTTTACCAACAGTAGTGGGGATCGAACCCACTACGCCATTCGGGTCGTCAATACGATTAATTACGGTTTGAAATTTGAGATCGGTACAGAGAAGAACTTTGTAATCTTCGAATGCTAATGCTATTTACTCACTTCAAAACGTACGGACTAGAATACAATAGTTAAATAAGTTTGATCCATTATTCTGACCATGATCATCAGGATTAATAATTTCGTTTCGGATAGGGAGCCTAAGAGATGGAGCTAAAAATGAAAAATAATTATTAGTTGTAAAAAAACTAAAATCACATTCCTAATATCGAGCACCCCCGTTTCTTTCACAATGGCATTAATTTTCTCGTTAAAACTTTATTCTTATATTGTACATTATATTTTTACTTTTTAATTCGCTTAACACTAAAGCGTCTTTAGCTTTTTTAAACTATAAATTATTGAAGATTTCTGTTCATGAAGTTAGTCGGATGTCACCAATTTTGGATTTTTGTCAGCAGTAAGACGAATATTTTTACATACATACATATTGTCATTTTTAAATTTGTGGAGCGATGGGTAAGCTAAAATTAATGGGAAATAGGCTCCTTAAAAAACTTCGCAGCCAACCTGGACCTAGGTCTTAGACGGCTGAATAGCAATTATCATAATATGATTGCTACCATGTGGTTTGTTCTGAAAGTAAAGAAACGAATGAGTCAATGGCTTTTCAAATGAAACACCGTGAAATCTGAATTATTTGTTTAATTTTTCCAATTAAACTTATAGCGTAACCTAGAAAGGAACTAATTAAAGATATTCGAGGCTGTCTGTTCATAATACTAACCCACGAACTTCACGATTATAATCAGTTTGACTTTGAACATAAATCTGGGTTGCTTTGTGCTACGTTTAGGGTCGTTTTTACGTGTAATAAATTTTTTATGCGCCCCTGGCTGAATTCATGAGTTTTTGTCGTTTGGGTTTGGTGTCAACATTGACTGATTGCATCAAAAAGTCAGCGAATGATTGATATGAGATCTTAAATTTATAAGCAAACTTATGACAAAGTATTGAAGTGCAGCCTGTATTAGTGATTTCAAAATACATTAATGCCTTTATTTTTATTACATTTCATTACATACTTGAACAAGAACGTAACACAAAAAGGTTTAATTTTACAGAAAGATGGAATTAAAACAGTAACTATTTGATTGGCAGAAATACTCCCACATACGTTTACATACCGTGCACGTGGACATTCATGGCAAACTTTTCAGAAAACTACTTAGACCACTATTTATATGTCTGCGTATCTAGAAGGGTTGATCTTTTTGAATACGAATATATAAAGGTTAATTTAGGAGGTCTTGGATTTAGCTGTGCGGTATCGTGGAGCACGACCTCTCGCTGCATGCCGTGGTTCGTGCTATGGTGGACAGCGACAGGGCGTGCGGTGCTCTCCTTGCTTTTTGTGATGACATAATCACCCGGAAGGAGGCCGCGGAGCGAGAAAGGGAGGCAACTGCCACTCTGGAAATCCGCTGCCGGAGACCAGGGCGCAGAAGGATGGCCTACGCGCTCAACTTTCCCCCCTGATAGCGAGCCCTGGGGTGACAAATGTAGGATTAACTGCTGCCCCGTGGAGGGATCGAGAGGGGTGCCGTGTCCATTGCACCGATACGGCACCATTTGGCTGGACCGGGTGTCTAAACACCCGGGGAGAGGAAGCCTGAGAAGGCCACAGTCGCGCAGGGTTCATGAAAGATTGCGTTTTCATGTTCCCGTATCCCCGGCAAAAGCGACAGCGCAGGTGCAACGCAGGTTTTTTTGTGGGTACCCCTGTGTTCCTGGGGACTCCCACATACCTTCGCTGTCTACCCACAAGGCGGCCATAAAGGATTTTTCTTTGTTTTGGATTTTTTTTTGTTTTGTTACTATTCTTTTTATTATTGATCAATATTAATATTAAATAATTAAATTTCTTTATCATGAGAGACATCTACTCATAAATTGTTTGTGTTGGTAAATGTTTTTTACATAACTTCCTATGTCACACTTGTGAGGTCAATTTGGCCTTACCTTACAATTGATCGTGGAACTGGACGTTGCTCGAGATTTCGACGCCAAATATTCCGATATTAGCTGTTGCAGGGGGGTGTTCTCGAAATGAGTAGTCATGACAAATGGGGATTTTTTAGCGGTTAACGCGCAGACTTGGGTCTTTTTGGGGTTGATTTGGGCTAAGTGTAGCCGACCCCAGTCTGAGACTTTGGTTAGTAAAGTCTCGACTTCAGACACAAGTTTGTCCCGGCTCTCGTAGACGTTTTCCCGAGAAATGTTAGCTCGGCCAGTGTACGAGACATCTACAGTGCTATCGTCTCCATAACGTTGCTGATTTGCAACATGTCATTGATATGCAGAAGAAACAGAGCAGGAGATAGTACGCACCTTGTGGAACACCAGCATTGATAAATTTAGGATCAGAGCATGCACCGTCGACGACGACCTTAATGCTCCGATCTACCAAAAAGCTGGTGATACAATTGCACAATTTCTTGGGAAGCCCATAGGAAGGTACCTTCGAAAGAAGCGCTTTTGCTATACCCGATCAAAGGCCTTTGCTATGTCCAGACTGGCTGCAAGCGCCTCTCCCTTGCTCTCAACTGATTCTGCCCATCTATGTGTAAGATAGACCAGAAGATCATCGGCTGAGCGACCCCGACGAAAGTCATACTAGCGGTCACTAATAAACCGGTGCTCCTCTAGGTACCGCAAAAGCTGGCAGTTGATAACGGTTCCATTACTTGGAGAACAAGGAGGTGATGGCTATAGGCCTGTAATTGGACGGATCCGAGCGGTTGCCTTTTTTTAGGATCGGATGCCCTAATGCGGCCTTCCGAAGATTTCAGGACTACGCCTTAACTATAGGAGGAATTATTATACCTACCATAATTATTATACCAGCGTCACAAAATTATACCTGTGAGCATAAAATAATTTTAAGCGCACAGGTATAATTTTGTGTCGCTGGTTGCAATATTCAAAGCTCGTGGCTGTAAATACGGCCGACCGTAAATTCTGACTTCCGTCAAAACACCTCCACTGTGGCAAAGCATAGCCACATATAACTTTTGCCTCTCCCTACTCGCAAGACTCGTAAATGTTCTCTCCACTGCTAAGTCCCGTGACCTCATTTGTTGACGTGTCACTTTCAATCGAAGCAGTTCTGTCTTTTTAAAACTATTTGTACTTGTTGATACCCGAATCATCTCCGTAACTTATTATAATAGCAATATTTTTATGCACAGAGAAAAAAACATCAACTTAACAGTAAATGAAGTTATTATAGTAGTAGATTAAAGTAATATCTTTTAGATAAGAATCACGTGTAGAAAAACATTTCGGAGAATTCATTGTGTAACTTGGGATGATTAATATTAATAATAATAATCACCCAAGAAAAAATAAGTATGTAGAGGTACGATTTGATTTAGATTCTCTCATTATTTTTTTAAACCTCCGAAGCATAATTATTAAATGAACACATGCCTTAAAAGTCGGTTTACTTTATAAATTTCGATCTTAATTCAAATATTGCTTATTTGAATATTATAATTGGCACGGTTTAAACTAAATTGTTGCTTGTTTAATTGTAAAATTAGCAAGCTTGTATAAACTACGTACGCTACGAGTGAAGGTAATTGGGTAACAAAAGTACCTTCGATGTTTATATCTAGTTAAATTACGGTGTAAATGCAAATTTAATTGGCCGCTCATGTATTTAATGTAATCAAATGATAAGAAAATTTGACAAAACACGAACTGAAACAATCTGTATTGTGTTAAATATAGTTATAAATATAATAACAAAAAATCTATGTTTCTTTAGGTTTTGTCTTATGAAGTAACATATTGTGCCACCCATTTGTGTGTTGTGGCCTCAAATTAGCCTCAAAAAAGGTTCATAAAGCTCAAATTATGATTTTCGATTTTAACATTTAACGAGTCGTTATGGAAAATATTAATGACTCGCTTTATGAAGTTAACATTTTTCCTTGACAGCTTTGGAGCGCATACTGTAAAAAAAAATCACAGGCTAAGTTAATATGGAAGTTGGCGCACTATCAATTTTAGGCGCGTTTATTAAGATTTTTAAATAGTTCTATACTTAGTATGTTTATATGTAATTCTTATTTTACATTTCGTTTTTTTTTTTCCAGTAAATAAAATACAACACAATAAAAATTCTTTAAATGGGACAAATCCGATTGATATGTAGCGAGTCAGCGGTTTTCGATACTGTATGGAAGTCTTCCCGTTTACTTTGCTTGAGTCTAAAATACTTTTCTTTTAGTTTTTTCAAATAACGATTAATCAATGATGTAAGTATACTGAAGTATATTTAGGATAATAATAAGATAATTTGTAATGTACTACTGCGCTGCAATGTCCTCCTCAGGCCAAAATGTATGTCTTTTTTTGGTCACTATTATTTCTTTTCACCGCTGAGCACGTTTTAAGTCAGCACTTAAAGTTAAAATTAACCATGTTACATTGCAAATTAGTACAGGTTTGATCTCAGGTTGATTAAGTATAGTAAAACGGCTCTTCTGTTGTAGGCAATCGTTTAATTTGATATTTTGAGTTATAAGTAAGATGGATTGTGACCATAAGCTGAAAACAATGTGTCTTATCTATTCCAAAAATGTTTAAGCAAGTTACTTGCTTGGAAAACAATTAAGAAGTTAAATGTAAAAGTGTTTATATATAAAAATCTTTGAATCTATTTTAAGGTTTTCTTTGAACAAAGTCCCGTAGGTCGTTACTCTAAATTACTCGGAAGGCATGCTTAAATTGGAGATGCGGGCAACGAGGCGTAAGTTGAAGAGATAGTGAGCCTCGTTGAAGACTTTAGAAGAGGAAGTTTGGAGCGATATCGATTGAATATAGTTTAAAGATAATGGAAATTCTATAATAAAGAAATAGAAGTATTTTTTAGATCCGTACGAACTCTGATTTTGAAAAAGGTTTTAGCGCGAGGCTACAAATGAGTTTTGAAGACATTTAAAGAAAGTATTCAAATGCTTAAACAATGTACAATTTGTATATGAACATATCGTTATCGTCCCTCAATTCAATAATTGTAAACCATAATTGTAATCTGTAACGCAATTATTATTACAATTAGAAAGCTTGGGGTGTAGCAGAAGTCTATGGGCGGTGACTAGGTTGACTAGTACAGGATGCCAGTTGGCATTTAGTCCGCCCTTTGTAATCACTATTTAAGGTGTTTTACAATGAAACTATATTTATATAAATAAGTAAAAGTAGTTACATAATTGAAATCAAACTAACTGGACGGTTTAATAAAATTATTTTAAATAATATATCGAAGCTACCCCAATCCCAGGCCGGTGTATCGAGGGTTTTAGTGGGTACTTGTACTCTGCCGCTTCCCTAATCTGGTGGCGTTGGACCCATAACGTTTATCACGCAAAAAAGGCAGGCGGCTCGTCGTATAAAACTTAGCTTAGTTTAACAACATGATCCATTTATTGTCCCAACCTTAACTAGATGCGATAAAGTCATGCGAAAGAAGATCTATATTAATATATATTACTTGGATAATAAAGTTACTATTTTAACGAACTCTCTTTTCTTTTTCCGTGATATGTCAGATTCGAAGAAAAACGCCGACGGGGGCGCACGGTTCACTCACTGTTCGGCCCTCGGTGACCCAGTGTGCTGCATAATTTAATGCTTTTGCCAAGTAAAGGAGGCAGTCGCTCACCCGCATTCCGCGTCGCTAGCCCCGAGCGTGCATATGACGGATGTGGCCGCCGGAATCCCGTTGCCGCATATTATCCGCGTCATATTAATTTTTTCATCATATTTTGGTATTATATATGATACTTAAACGAACTTAACTTTACGGTGAAATGTATTATCTAGCAGTAATAAAACTAAAAATGTTAATGAAAAGCGAACAACTATGGCGTCAATTCTATGGGGTTGAAATAAATATTTGTATGCACGCTTCCACATTTATTGTTCCGACAAAGTGACAAACGTTGAGCCTTCATCATTTTACAAATGGTTTGCTAAATAGTGATCGCTTGTGATCATTAAAATTAAGCATTTTATCTAATATCTATAACAAATAAGAAAACGACTTCAAATATGCCACTCACTATATACTTCTATTCGATTTTGAGGAGTTAAGAGGTCTTTTTTTATGTGAAAAGTTGCCAAGCAAGCAGACGGTTCACCTGATGTTAAGTGAATACCGCCCATGGACATTCGCTACACCCGAGGATTATAGATGCGTTGACAACCCTTTGAAAATTGGGCTCCGGCCACCTCACTCACAAGACGAAACGCGAAAGTATTATACTTTCGCGTTTCGTCCACTTTACGCCGGACTTCTGTGAGGAGATCTTTTTAACTTACCACAATCCTATTTAATACTATAAGTAGTATATTATCTGAATAAATAGTTTTGTATTGTATGTTATATTTTAATATAACAAGATAACAATTATGTTATCTTGTTATATTACAATATAACTTATATCTCATCTTAGATTAGAATAAGATAATGTGAACTATATAAACATAAACCCAAAACGCCTGAAGCTATCTACAGACCAAATAATTACGAAGTGGAATTAGGCGTAAGCTGATAAGGTTGCGACGTCATTGCCACGCAACTATTTAAGTTCATTTGTCCCTCTCCTAATCAAACAGTTGACTGAAGCCTCTTTGAGTAGTTTTTAGTGTCTGTTATAACCCAATATATTGTAGCTGTATCGTGTACTTTGTTTTCTGTAATCGGGTTTTCGAAAGCTCTTGTACTTTCAATTAATGTTCAGCCTTTAATTTCTAAATATCATTTGTATTCATTTGTTTATAAATAATTTGCCGCTTAATATATATTACATAAGTGCTGGATTGTTTTTATGCCTCATAGTTTCGATAAATGATTGTAATGCATATTTATATGAATTTACTTTAATCGCAGATTTTTATTACTGTCGCCGTGCCGGGAATATATTCGGCATTTTACAGAGAGATATTAATTCAATAAAGGTGTGAACTTTATTTAGTTAAATCGGATCTCAATTCACGATGACGCTACGCGGTCCATTAATATTTTTGGCTACAAAAGGGCTGTGGGCGATCGTTTTGACAAGCGGTCTATCAGTTTTGACTACCTAACTGCTACGTGCACTTAGTAGTTTGTGAGTTAGACCATTAGTCTTCGGCCCTCATTTTCCGGAACTGGCATGGGTTAATTGCTTTGCCAGGAAATTGTTTCGCAAAGTACTGTTAAACTGTTTAATTGTTACCCGTTACTGTTGAAATTTATATTTCTACGTTCTAAATTAACTACCTATGCACTGGTACATACGTCATTACATATTAAATGTTTATTAACCCAATGAAAAGTGACCGACGCCTCGTTAGTATATATTATTGTCTTTCTTCCCTAAGCTAATGTTTTTTGTAACAGTCCTTAAATAACATGCTTATTAATTAAAACTAATAATACAATTTCATTCATTTGTTTTTCACAGATTTTATGATAAAATATGTCGCTTGAATTCGCTTTATTTATTTCTATTCTACTTTATTTACAATCGAACAGCCCTCTGTCCGATAGTATCTATTAATTACACATTTGATTCTGACGACTTGCTACATTATATTCTAGACGAAATCAGATGTATCTCTCTTCTTCACCAACGAGCACTGTGTAGGAATTCTTCCCACAGTGGACTGTATTGAAGAAATAACAGAACAAACTTAACAGAACGATCTACATCGTTACATGAAGTTCTACAACGTTCGGAGGCAGCACGGTCTAGTTTCCTTTACATTTGCATAACCTGGGAAAATTAATAGGGAAATCAGTTTTTTCTGCAAAACACAGGAATATGTTTTTAATATTTAGAGATATATTCTAATCATGATTGGATGGATACATCCTAATCACTTAGGCAGCGCGTCTTCGATTGGTAGACGTCAAGACTGCAAAGACACAATCGTGTAACATGGGTTCTCCATGATGACCTACCGCTATATTCTTTAGTGTTTTAATTTGTAAAATTATTGTGTATGGAAAAGACTTTATTGGATCAGTCCATTGTCATAATCTGCCAAAACCTTTCTTTGGTAGACATTCGCATTTTCATCCCTTGCGCCACGTGAACTTCTTAGAACCGAAACTGATAAAAACCGGAGCTGTATGCTGAACATAATTATTCTGATAGTAATCTCGGTTGGGGTAACCCCAGTCAGCCTTTTACAAAATCCGCGCGATGGTTTGTTTCTAGCTCATATGGAGAAGACGGTTCCCGTAAGTCCAATATGTATGCCTGTTACTTTACAACTTTTAACAAGTTATAATTGATTATTACACAAAATATTTATAAATCACGTTTAATAGCCAAACTACAGTGGAAAATTGTAAACAAAAACCTTTTTATTTGGTTTCCGGATGTAACGTTTAGTTGAACCCTTACCGTATTTTGCCCGCCAAATGTTATTCCTAAGTCGCCGCAATGTTTGCAAGTTTCGCGCACAAGTATACTTGTGTGTGCCTATTGTTCACAGTGTAACGCAAACTGGAGCCGCCAAGCACAGACGATGCTGTACAAACACGTGAGAGTGGTTCACTCACTTTAAATACTGCTGCGTAAAGCATTTACATTCTCTCCTCTCTTTTTTTAAGTGTTGTCGTGCTCTATATCAAAGGCGTGCAATTAAAACCAATGCTAGCGCCACTTACTTCTTTACAACTTTGCCTCGCATCCTTTTTGAGCATATATTTGATACATTGAGACATTGAAAAAATATTTGTTTTTATATAATTTTAATTTTATACTTAAATTTATAAACAATTTTTCAATTTTGTACAATTCTCGGAACTCAAATCATCCAAATGATATTTCATTCAAAATCAATAAAGACTACGTAACAAATTAATGAATGTTCTTACCTGATACCTGATACCTGATATAATAAATAAAAAATAGAACTAATTCTCTATATTTCTAGTTTATATTTATTTACTTTATTTCAAAAATTGACCGAAGCAATAAAAAGCTCATTATTTCCTATGGACTACCATAATCGAATAAAGGGGATAAGTTCCCTTCCACAGATGACTTAAATTTAAATTTCACACCAAAATTTATCGCTTTCGCGTCCATTACTTTTTACGAGGATATTTTAGTAAAAGCGGCCGAACGTGGCTTTAATAGCTCGGACGAACATTCCCAAATGTTCACTTTGTTCAAAATGGCCGGCTTTAACTTCCCAAAAAATTTGATAATAAACGAATTGAACAGCGGTAGACGATTGTGAGATTTTTTTTGATAAAACTAGGTCTGAGCTGAAATAAGATTTAATGATAGAATGATATATATCAAAAGTTCTTAGCTTACTTAGTAAATACATATTTTGGAGCCACATGTGATGGATAATGCTATATTTGTAAAGATATTTTAATTTCAGTTAGCTAACACCTGTACTAAAAATTGAGTAAAAGTGTTATATTTCTTGTGATGACTGACGCAGACTTTGAGATTTCAATAGTCTATATTCTTTATCATTTATCGGATATTTCGAACATTTATGTATGTCAGATGGAGTGACGACCTGTGCAAATGTGCGGGAAGTCGATGGATGCAGGTGGCTCAGGATCGTCATGGCAGTCTATGGGGGAGGTCTATGTTCAGCTGTGGACTCAAACAGGCTGAAATGATGATGATGATGATGCAGTATGTCAGTATCGTTATAATGTTAACGTTTAAAAAATAGTTTTCAACAAAACAGTCTATACGTTATTTATATACCCGAAATAGCTCCATAATGCGTTTCTGTATAAAGGGAGTGAAATCTGGTGTTATAAGTTGCTCGAGAGCTACACAGATAAAACGGAGCCAACGGTGACGCGCGTCTTTGACACGTATCAGCATAATGTGCTGGTAATGTCAGTCTCGAGTGCGGGCCCAGCCCGTTCCCTGTAGATTATGGCCTAAGCTATATACTTAAATAAGCTCTTTATGCGTACTCGGCTATACCTCGGCCAGAATCTCTTTTAGTAATAGTCCTAATGCGTCACTGTATGCGCTCGATGTTATTATTGTTCATCTGTTTTTTTTTTTTAATTTAAGTAAATTAATAAAAAACGGTAAAGTACCGTCATCGTCTATCTCACATTTTATACAGGTATTATCTTTTATCTTTATTAACACAGGTAATTTGTGTTTTCTTTATTTTTAATAGTGAAGTTATAACCTATATCAGACTCAACAATGCATGCACAAACAGACTGAATGGCGAAACTTCGAAACACACAAACTTCGCTTTAATAATATGGCAAAGAATCTGCATTAAAATGTGCAATTAATATAGATTTTAATGACAAGTCAGTTATATACATATCATATAAAACAGATGCATTAGAGCATATCATAATACTCGTGTAAATTTTGTCTGATATTTACGCGCCATTATTATATTGATTATTTGTTACGTTCAAGCGTTCACCTGATTTATATGGTTTAACCGAATTCTTATTGGCCAAGCTGATCTTAATATTAAAATATTTTATAAAAAAAGCTTTACATATGTATTGCATATTGGCTTTTCTTAGATTTCCCAGTAATTAACAATGTAATAAATAATACACAAACATAAAATGTTATTTTACTAAGAAAAACCTTTTCATTACGAAACTTTGTGTATTTTTATATTTAAGTTGTTTGGATAAGACCATCGTAATCAAATGGGCTTCATGGATTTTTAAATGAAATAATTCAATATCGTTTATGCTCTACAAATCTAAATATGTAATAAATTTAAAT